CAAATTTCATGTAATTAGCCTAAACACACTAATACAAAACATGAAACTTTGACAATTATCTTTTGAATTGGATTAGCATGATTATTAACACACCAAAACAGGTTTATAAGTTTAAAAAAAGCTTAGGGTAATGATCCTAGTCCATTTCCAGCTTAAAAACTCGAAAATCTGCATTCTGGAGCACCAACTCGTCAAGTACATGAACAAACTCGGCGAGTTGGTTGATTTTTAAGGGGGACTCGGCGAGTCTGTCAGTGGACTCAGCAATTCCACTGTCCAGAAAGCAGAAAAACAATTTTTCAAGCATTTCCAAGCAAGTAGCATCAAGTATAATTAAAAACAAGCATAGGTTCTGATACCACCGAAGGGTTTTGGGCATTCTAACACTCCTAAGGTGTGCATGCAACCCTAGAAACCTTGGATCTATGTTTTCTCTATTATACATGCAAACTTTCATTTTTCCAAGGTTCATCCTAACTAGCATACTATGATGTATATGTAATATAAAAAAAACTAGTAGAATGACATACCTTTTCTTGTAGCTTGATTCCTTAAGCCTTTAAGAGCCTAGCACCCCAAGTGTGATGCCTCAAATGCTTCACACAACACCACCAACAAATTGGAAGAACTTGAGAGAAGTATACTTGCACACAAAATCGGCTAGCCCTCTTTCCTTTCACTTAAGTGCCCATTTTGGTTACCATGGGGTCCTTTATATAGTGTGACACAACTAGGGTTACACCATGTAAACCCTAATGTGCATGACTTTCCACATTCCTCATGTTCCATGGGTTTTAACCTCCATGAAGTATCCATGGGTCACCACATGGGTTTAGCCCAACATGAAGAACTATGGATCATAAGCCCACTTTATAAGAATGAATGATTTACCAAATCAATCCCCATTTATTTAATTAGTCTCTTTTGATCACAAAATTAATTCCAAACTAATTCTTGATCAATACTAATTAAATAATATGATTTCATATTAATATTAGAACTTATAATATATTAATAAATCATAAATATCCTCTTCTCAAAAGTCCATCCTACAAATTGTTCGGATGCCATGCAACCCAAATGGACCATGCTACTCTCGGGTCAAGTACATACCAATTATAGTTATGGGCTTAGACACTAAATCCAACAGAGACGTCTGTGGTTCCTTTGGAGGACATTCAGTTCAATGGTCGCATGAATTACATTAAGAGGCCGGTGGTGGTTCTGGATCGGAAAGTGAAAACCTTTAGGAACATGGTGGTGAACTTGGTTAAAGTTCAATGGCGGCATCGGAAAGGCTCTGAGTGGACTTGGGAGCCGAGGATGAGATGTTGGACCATTACCCGGATCTGTTCGCAGAGGCTGACTTCAAGGGCAAAGTCTGATTCTAGTGGGGGAGATTTGTAACACCCGTTGCAGGTATTTTTCATTTCAGCCCATGTATTTCTTTTAAGTTTGCATATCAAGTCCTTACACTGGGCATACTAGGGATACACTGGGTGTAAGTCAAAAAAAATTTGGGACTGGTCAAAATTTGAGTACACTGGGCGTACATAGGTGTACGCCGGGCATACTCGTGTTGCTTCCAAACCCTAATTCCTTGGGTGTGATCACTATTTAAGCAACATAAACCCTTTTGGACCTTCTCATGAGCAGTCGACATATTCCCCAAACCCTAAAATTGCCCTAGTATGTGAAGAAGAGTTTTGAATCTTGGAAAGTGATTCTTGTGTGTTTGGTGTTAGAAAGGAAGATCCTTTAAGTGAAGATGGTGCATTATAGCTTGTAGATCCAGAAACTCCATCTTCTTATGCACCTTTTCAAGGTATAAAGTTAAAATCTTGGAGCTTGTGTAAGTAGATCTTGTTTAGTCTTGAATTTTGGTTCTTTTTGTCCTTATGAGTATGGAGTATTCCAGAGCTTGGATCCTTATGAGTATGGAGTATTCCAGAGCTATTAAGTTGTCCATTAAGACATCTTATGCTGTCTTAAGTCATAAAAATGCTAGCTTGGCCATTCCCTTTCTTCTATGCAAGATTAGTGGGGGTTTTATGAAGTAAAAGTTATGGGTTTTGAGTTTTAGCTCCTTGTAGCCATGAAAAGGCTTAAAGCCAGAGACTTTATGGATTAAGACGTTCTTTAGGGTCCATATCTGTGTTTGGAATGGATGTCTTAAGGATTAAGACATTTTGCGCGAAGGTTTGTAGGAACAACGTATGTACGATGAGCGTACGCCTGGCTACGCCCCGTGTAGCCAGATGTGAGCCTATTTTCTGGTATTGCACTCTACGTCCAACATAGAGTATAGTACTCCGAGCGTACTAACCAGTTTGACTTTCGTTAACTTTTATGGAATTTGACCATTTAAGTATTAAGTGGATGGTGAGGGGTTTGTGAGGGGTAAAATGGTCTTTTACTCTATGTGTGGACGTCTTGGGCTTAGTATGGTGTGTGTGTGTGTGTGTAAAAATACCCTAAATAGTAATTCAAGTTAATTGGTGTATTTAATTAGGCGGGGTCTAGTTCCGACAGTTCGTGTGTGAATTATATCAGTCATTAGTGCTAGGTGAGTCTCCTCACTTATTCTTACTTGTGTGGTAGAATAGTTGTATAGGTATGTGGCGACCAACTGGGTCTAAGTGTTATTACTGTGTTTGCATTGTTTATATGTGTTGAGAATTTGGGTAGTCTCCAGGGTTGCTGATAACCCACAAGGCATGTTGTTTGCCCACTGAGACTTCGGGTAGTCTCCAGGGTTGTTGATAACCCATAGTTGTTTCACATGTTGTACTATATATGATATTTTGGAGAACTCACTAAGCTTTGTGCTTAAAGTTGTTGATTAAATGTATTCCAGGTACTTCTGAAGATCGCGGGAAGGTGAAGGCATGATTGTACACATTCGCCGAGAGATCTTGTTATTTGATATTTTAGGACACTCTGATATTTTGATGTGGAATTGTATTTGACATTATGACTTTTCTTGGGATGGTTTTTATGAAACTGTTTTTCTATGGATTTAAAAATTAAAAAAAGAATAAAAATTGGTTTGAAAATGTGGATGTTACAACTCTAGCCACTTGTTCATCAATCACTTGTTCCTCAACTCCAACCTCCTCATGCTCAACTACTTGTGCATCTGTAAAAGAAAAAAAGTTATTAGTGTCTGAATCTCAATCAAAAAACAATGTAATTAGGAATCAAACCTTGTTTCAACAATAGACATCGTCTCTTGTTGTGACCTTCTTGTTGACAATTACCACATCTGTAAAAGAAAATGTGGATGTTACAACTCTAGCCACTTGTTCATCAACCACTTGTTCCTCAACTCCAACCTCCTCATGCTCAACTACTTGTGCATCTGTAAAAGAAAAAAAAATTATTAGTGTCTGAATCTCAATCAAAAAACAATGTAATTAGGAATCAAACCTTGTTTCAACAATGGACATCATCTCTTCTTGTAACCTTCTTGTTGACAATTACCACATTTTGAAATATCCCCTTCTTGCTAACAATATGCTTTCCTTATTTTGCTATTGGATATTTCTTTATGTTCATTTTTGGTCTCCTAGGCATTCTCTTACGCACCATGGAAGTAAATCAAAGGCTTATGAACAAACACACCATTGTAGTAAACATCTATACTGAGTGCACCTTCTAATGAGAACAACATTCTTGCTGTAGAACTCGATGTCTCTAAGGCCGAGTCTTGTTGTAGAACTCGATGTCTCCAAGGCCGAGGAGGAATCGATGTCACTACGGCTAGGGGTGTTCGTTTGGATGGATCGGTTTGATCCAATCCAATCAAGTGAATCCAAATTGATTTCGGTTTTCAAAACATGGATCCGAATAGTCCAAACTAAATTCAAATCTGATCTGATCTGATCCAATTACAATTCGGTTGGATCGGTTTTTATAATTCTGTTTTTAAAAACTAAAACATTTTAAAACGACATATAATTATATTATTACTAAATTTTACACAAGAAGCAAAAACAAATTATTTAGTAACGATTTGAAATTTATAAACAATTTTTAATAAGGTATATTATATGTTAATATTTTATAGATAATTTTTTTTGAGAGAAAATGCATATTAATATATTTTTATTAGGTGAAACTTTTTAAACCTATTTCATTAAATAAATTACAAAATTAATAAATAATTATAGATATATATTAAAAATAAATAAACAATAAATTGTTATTCGGATTTTTTAGAGTATTTGGTGCTTATTTTATAAACAATAACCAATCCGAAATCCAAAATAATAATTCGGTTTTATCGAAAACCAATCCGAAAATCCAAACCAAATAGTCCATGCAAATTGTCCAATTTGATAATTCGGTTTTATCCAAATACTGAACAACCCTAACTACGGCTGTGGAAATCGATTTCACAAAGGGTTGTTGAGCGATCGAACCTAGAAACAAACCATAGAGAGGTTCCTTGCTTCACTCCCTCCCGTTAAATGATTTTGAAAAATCTAAGACTTATTTTACCCTTAATCCACATAAGAATAAAAATATGTTATGCTATTGCTTAATGTTCACTAATTAATTTTATCAGGTCATTTTTTCATTGAACATATAGATATAGATGTTGGTTACCAGTAGGTGGGATTAGAGAAAAAAGTATATTTTTTTTCATTGAACATATATAGATATAGATGTTGGTTACCAGTCGGTGGGATTAGAGAAAAAAAGTATATTTTGGTGGTGTTTTTTATATAAAGTCTTTAATTAATTGAATGGTGTGTTTTAAACATACAAAAAGTTGATTGTGTTTTAAAGGGTTTTTTTTAAAGATACTTCCGTTATAAGTCATTTTCCCTTGGATCTTTTTATAATTAAAATAGAAAAATATATCTATCCAGTCCACTAGATTATATCCAGTCCACTAGATTAAAGTCTTACCACCGTCAATTCCACTAGATTAGTATTAATACATGCCCGTAAAACTACTTATAATAACTATTTTCGGAACAACAAAAATCAAATTAGTAATAGTGAGGACGATGTGCGTGATGAAACACTGGATACGCATGATTCATTATCTGGGGTTGATGCATGTACATGTTATCATGCACCATCACATTCCCCATCCCACTATGAACGCTCTGATCATTCCTGTTCATCATCGGCAAACTTGATCCATGATCATGGAAAGTTGGCATAATTCCGCCATTAAAGCTTCCACCAAAACCTCCATGTAATTGACTACCTTCAAGGTCAATAAAACCAGAACTATTCTCTCCCATTAGACTCCCACTACCTCTATCAACCCATCCAATGTGTCGATGATTATTCTCCATATCCATGCCATGCTTCAGATACCTTTCAAAAGCCATCTGCTCTTCCAGACCAGTACGATGATAACCAGGAGGAGTCAACATACGTTGACTTTTTGGAGCATTGAGACTTGCGATCAGATTTTGCATCTGGTTTTGGTTGTTTCCGCCATTGATGAAACTTGAAAGTTGTTGGTTCTCGTTGAAATTTTCGTCACTGGTTGGCCAAAGTTCTGCATGCTTTCCTGATTTGACAAGCCTGTTGATTAGGGTTGTGGAGTCAACATCTCCAGACACTTTAACTTTTTGTTGATCTGAATCAATATCTACAGAGTAAACTCCTGCACCCATAATTTCATCTAGTAATGAGACATGATCATTATTTTAAACTTTTATTCATTAAAGATTTCAAAATCATTCACTTTATGTGTTCCCTTTTCATAAACAGGCATTTTTCTTGTTGTATATCTGTATCTTTTTTTACTGTTTCTCATTAATATCTCATTAAAATAATAGGTCTAATTTTCTTTTTAAATAATAGCTGTAGATGAAAGGGTCTGGAAGCTTAAAAGTGCTCATGGACATTGAAGTATTATACAATGTTTAAGAGAAAAATAGTCAAAATATTTAACTAAAACAGAGTCAAATCAAAGACTTCTACAATACCCATTATAGAAATTGATGGGATGAAACTTTAAAAAAGCACAAACCCAAAAACATTTAAGGAAAATGTCGTTAGAAGAATTGAATGCCCATGAGAGAGAATGATCATAGCAAATACGAGTTAACAAGCATGAAAAGTGAAGATACAAAGTGAAATCTTTACCTTCTATTTTTCTGAGTATTTTCTTGACCTTCTCCTTGCATCCATAACAATGAATGTTGACCTTGAGTTCACATGTCTGCTATTAAGCAAGAAAATAAAGGAAGCTAATAAAACAGAGTAAATATATATATTTATCATAATTTTATGAAGAAAAGAAAGAAAATAGAATGACTAGAAATGGAGACCTTTATCTGTAAAATCTGGAAATGATCATTGATTCTTGACATGGTTTCTGGGTGAATAGAAAAAGGAACAGAACAGTTAGTTCTTGTTTTGTTCTTGTTCTTGTTGTTGTGTTTTTTGCTATTTAGAGAAAGCTTCGAGTACAATGGTTTTCCTTCTTTTTTACAGAGAAGGTTTTGTTTGAAAAGCTTTTTGATATTGATATGAAGTACACAATGTGATGATCATATACCAAAAGAGTTGCAGAGCCACCCTTTTCCTACTCCTTTTCCTACAGGAGTAGGCTGCAAAACAACCAGAAAGCACACACAAGGTGTGTGTGTGTGAGTGTGAGAGAGAAGAGATGGTATAATCTTGTGATTTGACCAGGGTTTGGAAGGGATGTTTGCTTCCTGCAGAAGCGTTTGTCCTCTTGTAAGTTCCAACTTTCTCTTTCTATCATTGTAATTCATCTATAAGATTTGTTTAAATTTTATTTTCATTTATCATAATACATAAGTCAAATTGTATGGAAAAATATTGAGAAAACCATAAAATAACTATTCTATAAGGTGACATTCATATATAGCAAAATTAATCGTATATTGGGTATTTTTTTTGTCGATTTTATTGAAGTATTTTTTGTGTTGTAAATCATTCAAAAAGCCATTTTGTAATCAGAATGAGACTTATTGTGAAATTGATGGTCAGTTTATGTAAAGACCCAAAAAAATTATTCATTTGTTAAATATTAACTTATAAAATAATCATTTTTGTGATTTTCTAAAAATAAATATACTTTTGATTAATGTTTATTTCAAAAGATGCAAAGAACCAAAAAATATATTAATTTTGGTAAATGTTATTTATAAAATAATCATTTTTGTGATATTCTAAAATTTTAAAATCAACATATTTAAATCGATATGCTAGAATCTATTAAGAGCGTTATTGTAACACTTCGTTTTCATTTTACTATGTAATTCAATATAAATGTTTGTTTATCAAATTAAAATTCAAAATATATCATTTTTTAGCCAAAGTAATCTACATAAAAGTATTACTATATATGCATACGAACTCATGGATACAAAAAACATTGAAACGGAGTTCGTATGAAGAAGTTCTGATTTTTCGAAGATACGAAGTGTCCAGTTTTTGTTTATAAATATAAAGTGAAAATATATTTTGATTTAGCTGTTAAGAATTAAAGGAAAGTTGTAGTACTCGTAATTACAAAGCCGTGGGTATAAAGAACATCGAAAACAGAGCTTGTGTGAGAAAGTTATGATTATCCGAAGAAAATGAGAAATTAGCTAGTAGCTGACACGTGGCAGCAACGGAGCCAGGGCTCACACCAACTACCAACACATATGGCTACACCAAGCTCCACCCACGTAACGTCCCAATTTCCAGAGTAAATTTTTCATTTTTAAAATAAAATAAATACTTATTTTCGTAAAATACATTCAAGTTAAAATCATTTATTCAAGGACCATAATTTAAAATCAGAGTTATAAGAGAAGACAATACGAAATCTCAAATCATAAAGGCTATTGACGCATGTGTGTACAATTCCGCCTTCACAATCCGATAAGTACCTAAAAAGTATTTAACCCACAACTGTAAGCCAAAGCTTAGTGAGTTTCCCAAAATACCCCACACAAATATACACATACAATGCATGCACACATGAGCTTACAGTTTGAATGGACCGCCTCGCAAAACCTACAATGCACCTGGACCGCTCTCCTTAGGCCTACATTATGATTGAACCGCCTCATAAGGCCTACAATACACCTGGACCACTCGGGTCTAAACTATATTCCCTTGAAGCCCAAGACATGTACTTGATCAAATTACGGCCTGATATCCCGAAATTAGAAACATCATTGAAACTAGATGTTACAATTCTCCCCCACTTAAATTAGATTTCATCCTCGAAATCCAACTCAGTTACAATTTCTTGAAATTGTACTAACTCAGTTAAATGTTACAATTCTCCCCCACTAATAGCGAAACTACTAAAACCGGGAAAAATCTTGAAGCTGTGACCTAACCGATTTATACTTCAGAAAAAACCAGAAATCCATCAACCTAAAACTCCAGGGACATACATAATGTCTGACGATCATCCACTCATCATACTTACCCCAAGTCCATAACCAGGGACACCACTATACCATCAGAACGAACACTCAGGCCAATCCGACGAATTCCCACCAATTCCAAATCCAGAAATTACGCCTAAAAGACCTCAAATGCACACTTGACTTTTGACAAGTCCTCATTTATCCAATGCCCCCAAGAGCGCAACAATGGTCAATCCATAGGAAAATCTCTGGCGGCATCCACACTCCCATACGCTCAAGGGCACAACCATCTAACAAATCATCCAAGATCCCTTCAACGAACTCCATTACTAGCAAATTAACTCACTCGAAATCGTTGTCACAACAACGAATAAGGACCCACTAAGAAAACTCCACGAGGAACTGCTGATAAACAACCATGACTTTTCCAATAAGTCAAAAACCTACAGATACTCGACCCAACTTGTTAGTTATGGAGCCACTAGTGACAACACCATACTACTCAAACACCCAACTATGCCAAAGGGCTAACGAATCAATAAATGGGTCTCCTTTACACAACTGTCGGGTCCAACATATATAATTCGAATCCGTGATGGTTCATTATACGTCGTGACACCATCCAACTATTGAAATGAGAAGCTCACGATTCTACACTGTTCTCGTCATCATCCAACCATGGGCATGAAGACTCACGACTAGCACCCAGTGGGCTTATAGGCATACGACCATCATCCTAATTGCCTGCATGAACCCAATCAACATCCCTCCAAGTACTTGCAAAACACAACACGAGTCATATCACTCCCTAATACGCAAACCCTTCAATATTCTAGACTGCTACAGACGCATCATCAGACAAAACATGCTCGCATACAACTAGGAAATAAGATAGAATGTTGAACGTTTGTCCTAAATCGAAAGCAATAAATAAAACAAGAACATTCCATAAAGACAGATTGATTGTTCTCAGGCTATCATAATCAACCCCTACACCATACACGACAATATTTATTGGATTACCAACATTTTATACTCCCCAGCAGATAACACAATGCTCTTCATGTCGATTATGTTCCTTCTTCATCATAACCCTTACCTAGGGGTGAAGTACAAGTGGATAAAGGAAGTGAAGACCTTCAACCGCTAATAGAAACATTCTCCTAAGAGGCAAAAAAAGATCTGACATCTTAAATGATACTGAACATATCTCACCAATGTGCGAGCAAACCAATAAAACTACCAAATTCAGAGAAGAATTCCAATATTATCCAGAATGTTTCCAGAACCATGTTTGAATCGACTTTAATTACCAATACCGAAGATGTGACATCCCAAACTAACCTATATGTAGACCCGAGGTCACACCAGGAAGATTAGCAATGGCGTTGCAACATTCGAACTTCACTATCCAAGATAATCGCTAAACTCAATCCTCCTAGAACTTACAATTTCTTAATCAAACCACTGAACACATCCCGAACCGTAGATATACCACCGACAATACATTAATTAAGGATCAACTCACCAATTACACCTTCAACTATTACTTCCTGAAGCCTTTGGATAACCTTAATTGTTGATGATAAACAAAATAACCAACGATCATACATGGATCGAAAACTAAACCCGATGATCCCACACATATTGAATAAAGCCCATGCAAAAATCTCTTACCGAACTCTGAAGCCGATCGGCAGATCAATAATTGCCCATCTCAACTAAAGATAACCAACTAATATTGCAAGCTAAATGTGTTCTCTATATCCGATGCATAACTTGCACGGATCAAATGCTCCTCGATCAAGATTCATGGCGCTTCCAGAAGGAATTACTGACCACAACGATTTCCTTACCCATCAACTTCCTACTGTGAGGACAACACATGTATCCTTGAAGACATAAACCTAAAGACATATTACTATGCACCCACGATCTGACCAATCCTTAACTATAACATCTATAAAAGTTAATAAAAAATTTAAACTTTTTAAACACTTCCATAAATCACCATTGTTTACAAAATAGTTTTCAAACATGTTTATTATCAGAGTTTTTCCCAAAATCATAAAACAAAGCATGAGGAGGTGCACGATCATGCCTTTACTTTTCCGAGATCATTCGAGGTACCTGAAACATAACGCAAAACTGTAAGCCCAAAACTTAGTGAGTTCCCCCCAAAATACCAACCCAATACAAAACCAGAATAATAATCATAAACAACATGCATACACAGCCTTTAGTCTGACTGGAACGCCCCTACCGGCCTG